CTAAAAACTAATAAATTATCGCTATTATTATTATATCCTCTACTTAAAATCTAAGAATATATTACTAATTAATATAATATCTAAAAACTAATAAATTATCTTATTTTAATTTATATTATCTTTATTAATTATAATAATCTTATAATTATTATTATAATTATAAATCCTAAAGTATTTAAGTTACTTAATATTAATTTCTTTATAAAGCCTATTATTAAGACTATATATATTATATCTTTATAAACTTAATTTAAAATATTAACATAAGGCTATAATTCCCTTAAATAAACTTAATATTAAAATAATAAGTTTAGGCTAAGGCAGGCTAAGCTTAGGCCGCAGATTAGGCTATAGGATTTAGATGATTGCTGTATTGTTCCGGAGCTGCTACCTCCTCTCTGCCTGGCCGGCCAATCTCTTCTATCATAGATACCCCCCCCCCATCTGTATTCCAAGTCCCGTATCATCGGCTGTCGCACCCTGGCCACCTACACTCGGCACATCGCTGCGGGCACCATGATCAAGAAGCAAGCTCACTGCAGCCTCGTTCCCCGCGAGAACCGCCAGGTGCATCGGTGTTAGCCCCGTGCTCGTCTCAACAGCGTTAAGCTGTTCCGGTTTATTAAAATGCCTGAGTATCTCATTCATGCTCTCGCGGCCGGCACTCCAATCGACGTCAGCCCAGTGCAGCTCCGCCGCCTCGGTCGCATCCGTCCCGCGGAACTCGACGTCGATATGAGCCGCTGCGGCACGGTGCAGTGCCGTCCACTGCCGGGCTGGCTCTACGATGAAATGGAGGCCATCACGCATTGATGCGCTGCCAAGAAGGTAGCAGAGACGTGCGATTGAATTGCGCGCGTTGGAGGCGATAACATGACCGAGGATGGTTGTGGGGTTGGACAAGGTCAGGTGGCCGCAGCTCAGGGTGGTGAAGTTCAAGTCGGCACCATGCGATACAAGGCTGTGGGCGAGATGGAAGGCGTCATTCAGCACGGCGATGAGCAACGGGGATTCAGTTGTATGGAAATGGTCTGGGAGACCATTGAGGGCCGCGCCGTGGTCAAGAGGTTGTTGGACTAGCCGCGTAGCATCTTGCCCTGCATAGGCCAAGATATGGAGAGCGGTCCACGTTGAATCTTGTCCGCTGAATGGATTCTTGGAAGCTTTGGTGGCTTGTGCCCCGTGCTCGAGGAGAAGATTAACCAGTGCTGGACGATTCCATCGAACTGCCTCTAGAAGCGGCGTTCGCATGTTAACGCCGCTTGCGCGATTGATGTCGGCCCTTTTGAACGTACCAACATCCTGGGATTCAATGGCTTCTTCATCATGGTCTGTTCTAGCTTTGATAACGTCGGCTCCGTGTTTGACGAGGTATTCAACCAATTCATCTCGGGCTAGCGAAACGTCGAAATAGAGAAGCGTCTGCTTGAACCCGCCGTAAGCGCCATAAGTAATTCTGCTGGCCCTGGGCAGCAGACAGTTGAATGTTGATTCCATCGCCTGTTGATTCTTCGGGCCATGATAAAGGATCATATCAAACAGGCTGCTGCCATGGACGGCTTGCTCGAGGAGTTCCGCCACTAAGAAGTCTCGGGATCCTGCTCTCTCATGCTCAACAATGTATTGCTCCATGGCGTGCATCATCAATTCCAAACACTCTGAACGAAGCTGCGATGCGCCAACCCTCAAAGCAGTGTTTGCTTGAGGCCATCTTTCGTTACATATCCGTGGATCTGCAATGTTGGACAGCAAAGACGGTACAATTTGAGGGCGGTCACAGTGAGTTGCTAGGTCGCACATTAGCCCATCTGATACTCGAACTAACGAGTCTTCCGGTTTATAGAAGAGGTGAGGAAGGATATGGCCATAGGAAGCACTCACCCCTCGGGAGCCGATCAGGAACTGCCGCTGCCGGAAAGTCCGCTTGGTAGGCTATGATGGTTGATGTCTTCGCGGTTGTATCTGCGCCAGGTTGGATCAGTCCTGGATAGACTCTTTCCACCTCTTCATCATCGAAGGGTATCAGCCAGTGAAGTGGAGACTCTCCATTCCGTGCTCCTATTAATGCAGTTGCTCCATGCGAGGTGAGCCACAAGACTGTGCGACTTTGGCCGGCACGGCATGCGCCCTGTTTATTGAGTTGATTAACAGTAAGTGAGAGAAATCGATTTAGCAGAGCCTCGATCGCTTCTGTTTGACCACAACTTACGGCCATGTGAAGGATGCGGTCGCCTCTCTTGTTAATCGTGTAATCAGCGATGTGAGGCAGTCGAGAAAAATTCTCGAGTATAATGGGAATGTTTTCAAAAGTCTTTATCCACATTCCGTACCTAAAACCATGAGGCATTTCTTCTTCGGAAGAGTGACTCGCGCCGGTGCCTGAGAGGCCGGTGCGAATAATCTTCGTCGTTTCCTTGTATTCGTCCTTGGATACGATCGCGAGATCTTCGAGAGCAGTTCTTGAATCACGCAGGGCCATTAATTTTAACGATGCGACTACGCTCTCTGTGTTATCAAATGTGATACCAGTCGCACGCGCGATTCGATACCCGTACGCCGCCGAAAGTGGATGATCTACTCCCCAGGCGTGGAAGAGCCACTTGGATGTGCACGATGTATCCTTGTCTACACCATATCCATTGATATAGAGACTTGTGAGAAGAAAAGTCTCCGGCGGGTTCAGCATATTCTCTTTGAGGATCTTCTCGCCTCTGAACATATATTGTTGTCAGGCACCTTTAAACAGAAGGGTCCATCTTCGTCCAGTGATTACACTGGAACTGATGTTGCTACGCGATATAAGTTTCCAATGTATTTGACGGAGATCATTATAACCTACGTTCAGGTTCGATTGTAACAGCTGATCTGGATCCGCACTGGCTCGGTCAGCTTCTAACAATATGACGTTAAGTAGCGATGTGCGTACGTTCTTGAGTAAATGAACCATCACAACCAAGGAATGCCATGATTTTGTTGAGGTCACTTCTAGATGGCTCATTCGATAAGCTAACTGTCAAAGCTCTTTGTATTGCGCTGTATAAACCAAAACGTTGAACGCCGGCAATGAACTGTTGCTTCATGGGCTCCAACATCAGAACATGCATGACTGGAATGGCACATAGAGTTAATTACCTGCAGCATCTTCGACCTATGAGTTAATTTGTTGCAATTGCTGTTGGAGAGACAGCAAATGCTCGTGGAATCAGAGGGAGCTACTATAAGGAGAGGACATAATTACTTTTCAGTACCAAGTAGAAAGATCTGTGTGGGTAGCTAGTTCTCCGGTTTCTTTTATTTTCTCGGCTTCTGCATAGAATTCTTCGCCATGCTTGGATGGGTCCAAAAGGAGCTTGAAGATGTTGCGGCCATGGGCAAATGTAAACCAGATGAGGAGGGATAATGAGTATATGTCCGTATACTTTGTGTCTGATACCCAGACCGCTGTCTTCGCCTCGGGGGCCTTCCATGGCCGGGTTCCCCCCAGCGAGAGGTTTCTCTTTTCAGTATTCATAACCAGGGAGTAGCCGAAATCACTCAGTTTGGCTTTATACTTGTTCTTCTCATTGGGAAAGACCAAGACATTCTCTGCCTTGACGTCGCCATGGACAATGCCACATGAACGGAGCATATGAAGGCCTTGGCAGACGTAAAGGCAGAGCTTTCGCCGAGTCTCTTTGCCGAGATACTTCCGCAAACTCCACAATGATGACCGGCAGCTCCTGCATGGAATTGAATGGATTTCTGCCCCACGCCAATCCAAGAAAGTTCACGAGATTCGGGTGTTGCAGGACTGGCCAGTGTGCCGATAGAGACAGTTCCATGATTGCCGCGTCTATGGCGTGCCGGGACGTGTGAGTGGCTTCACCTTTGTCGGTGAACTCGATCACGGGAACCTTGTAGGCGACTACGTCCGGCAGCTTGCGTCTGTCTTCCACTTCGACTGACCAGTCACCAAAGTCTAAAAGCGACGTCTGCAGCTTGCGATTCATACGAGCCAAGACATCAAGGGTCTTCAAGATCTCCAGAAATCTCTCCATGACTCGACCACAGATGCTGACATGAAGAACAGCCTCGCTGCCTCGGCAGGTCTGAAGGCACAGCATATTTTTCTCACGTCCTGTAACGATCGTGCACAGCACTCAGAGCACTCCGACGACGGGAACAACCCTATAGTACCAGCACGACTTCCGTAGGTTCTAGACCCTTCCCAGCTGACTAGGATTGATATGCTGTCATCAACCATCGGATCGGCCCTGTACCAGGAAGCCACAGTGCTGATAGAAGAGAAGCGCGTACAGTCGAATATGAAAGGGAAAATCAAACCACATGCTGAAGCCCTTGTGCTTCTACTCTCTCAACCTCCGACACCATCCTTCCAGATATTCCCTTGCCTAGGGTACACTGAAGAACGAGGGGGCTTCCGGTTGGTCTTTCAATTCCCTTCCAGCACTGAGAAGGCTTGTTGCCTGCTCAGCGTATTATCAAGATCCAACGGGCTGTTGCCAGATGTTGGCACACGTCTTAGTTTAGCTGTGCAGGTGTGCCAGACGCTCCTCAGCCCTCACACTGCCGGCTGGCTCCATAAAGACCTCCGGTTTGAGAACATTCTACTCGTCTCTCCACTCTCTGCCCAGTCGACTGACCGCCTGGGTCGACCATATCTCTGCAGCTTCTCCTTAGCAAGACAAGGTTCGCCGACTGAAATTAGCGAACAACCGTCTACCGAACCCTAATGGGACATTTATCGGCATGCCAAAGCTCCAGGAGAGCCTTCTGAGAGCTCCGCGCGCTACATGGACGCATACTCTCTCGGCTGTATTCTGATCGAGATCGCAGAGTGGACGCCCCTTCGAAAGATTATCAAGAAGCGCATCGACACCAGCATTAGCGTCGACGTGAAATTGAATAATCTTGCATTGCTCTCACAGTCGATGCATGGTCGATATATTACTGAGGGAGTCGCAGCATTTCGACTTGGGGCTGCGTCCATGAAGATGCTTGTTCTGTGCATTCCAGCCGGAGATAAAATGCCGGATTTGGCCGACTTTAACTCTGCGCTTGAAGACATGGCCGCTTGTGACATTTAATGAGACTTCTAGGCCCAGCTATCTTAAACACATATAAATCAAGGGTCCCACTCATTCAGGAGCACGTGGGTAGCTTGAATGCAGAACATGCTGTGAAGTTCATAACTGTGATTTTGGCTATTAGAAAAAGAACATTATATCGGGGAGGAGAGAGAAGTTATTGATAATCGCTTCTTGATTGAGTGGCGCGGCAAGTGAGCCTATGCAAAGGGTTATTTAATAACCATTAGAGAACATAGCTTAGGAATTTCGCTAAATTAACAAGAGTAGTAAAATAGATACGCATCCTGTGGAATGGCTCATATTATAGTTTAATCTAAAAGTTTAATCAAGGCCTCTGGAGTAAGAAATTGCATATCTAATATGTTCCTCCCTTGCAGGTGCCACTTAGCGTTTGACGGACCGAGACATAGAGAAATTGTTAAGAATTATGGCATTCTGCAGAAAAACAGGAAAGAATAACACCTAATATGGCTCGAGCGTCTTCCCCCTTACTTTGAGGGCAGGGTGCCTTTCTGAAACTAAACCATGAAGAGTCAAATCCTCATATGGACCCTTCTGGGTGCAAGGGGTGTTCTTGCGGGAGTATACCATGGGGTTATGCATATGGAGACACGGTGTATTACTTGTCCACATTTCTTGTTCCGGTGTCAAGTCCCGGCCAGTCGAACGGTAGACTCACGGGACCGTCTTCTTTGCAAGACATAGCTGGAAACAGCTCTGTTTCCGTGACACGTAAGTGACGCCAAGTTAGCCAAGAGGTAAAAACTGACCGTGTAATAGAAACAGAGTCACAGAGCGCTTTAAGGACGGTTGTTGCTTCAGGCACGACTGAGGTCTCGACGTCTTCGGGTTTTGAGTCTTTAAGCGTGGAAAGTCAATTAACCCAAGTTCAACCCGGTTCAGAAACACCTATAACGACCGAGAAAATCACATCTACATCATCAGCCGTATTGGAATCGACATTTAGTGCCGTTTCCCTTATAACATCAACAGGCATCATTGAATCAACAGGCCGCATCGTCATATTCCTAATCAGAGAGCCTACACCCAACACTCAAAAGCGATCCTTCAACAGGCGACAAAATACAGACAAACGATTCGTGGGGAACGGAAACCCTGATACCTGCACCTATGCTGAAAGCTTCAACCTCGCCCAGGAGCAGCTCTTCATAGACGGCGTGCCGTTCTTTTATAACGGCCAAGATTATACGGAGCTTAGAGCTAGGCCGGTGCCCCAGGTAGGTGCAGTTACGAGAATATTTATAACTTCTGGCCGATTGCTCGAGATTAGGAATCCGGATGTCCCTGATGGTGCGGGCTTCTGCCTGGCACGTGATGGGACGGTGTATGTGACTTTTACAAGTGGGCCAGCTAGTTGTGTGCCTATCATTCTAGAGGTTTATGATCGTGAGTTAAGTTAGTGTTGGGAAGCATAAGTGCCGGGTTATTAACTTAAGAATTAGAGAGACAAAGTCAGAATGGTAGACTTGTTGGTCTTGATACCACTACCGGCGCTGCTGAGACTGCAACCTCAACGTCTAAAGCCATTAGTTCTAGAAGCTCTACCAATATTGAAGGTGCTACGATGATGACGATTAGAACAAAAACAACAAAAACAAAAACTACAGCAAAAGATACTTCAACTGCGGAGTCTAGTCACGAAAGTGCTACAGAGTCGAGCAGTATCTCCCAGTACCAATCTGTAGCTCCAATTTCTGAACCGACTACTTCTTCCAAGGCATCTACCGCAGAATCTTCCAGCGCCTCTACCTCATCCAGTTTCACAACTGGCATTACCACGTCGGAAACTTCTACAGAACCGAATGTTTCATCGCCAGTTCCTCGTGAATCGAGCACCGAGGGAGTGTCTCTAACCACTGCACTCACTTCGACGTCAGCAGTAAGCACATCTAGTGAGACAGAAGAGTCGACTTCGATTAAACCAGCTTCATCAGAGACAAGTGAGGCTGGTACCACTAGCTCTGAAGAGAGTACTTCGAGTGTTGAGCCTGAGACTTCTACCGTAGAGAGTACCACTGCCGCCTCTGAGAGCGAGACTACGACTGTTCAGAGTGCAACTAGTACAGAATCCACCACTTCAGAGACCTCTACTTCGGAGTCCAACACTTTACAGTCTTCTACTTTACAATCTACCAGTTCTCAGTCTACCAGTTCAGAGTCTACGACCAATAGACCAAGCACCACGATAGCACAAACAACATCCAACAGCCCAACAACCACAACCCTCGGCGCAACACCAACAAACGCCGATGAGTGCACAGCCCTCAGCAATCCCTACATAGCCAGCAACGGCGATCGCTTCGATCTGAGCTGTAGCTCTAACGTAGTGTTCTTGAGCGGCGGCGGCTCTGAACAGGCAGACCTGGTAGATTGCTTAGAGGACTGCTCCACTGACCCAGGCTGTGAGGGTGTGCAGTACACCAAGGCTAACCAAAACTGTGTTTTTCTTGTACAGAAAGTCGGGACAGTACCTAATAATGCATATGATGTTGCTTTTAGGGGTTAAATAAAGTAAAGTATTTAATTATAATGGATTTAATACGGAATTATTTTTATATCTTACTTACTTATGGGCAGTTATAACTAAGTCAGGGTCAGGGCGAAAAGGCAGGATCTGGGGCAAGGCCAAACTTAAGTCTTTATAGAATTATATATAGGTAGTTTATTAGATTTAAACAATTTTAGCTAATTTTAATATAAGCTGAATTTAATATACTTTTTTTAATAAAGCTTATTAAATAGCTAATTATATAGAGTATAATAAGTAAAGTATTTTAAATACTTATATTATATTACCTGCGCTTATATTATATATATGTTATATTATTATTTTTAACTTATTAACTAAATTAGTGTTAATATCTATAGGATAAATAGTAATCTAAGATTATATTACTCTAGGATTAAGAATTCTTAAAGTATTATATTAAAGAATTTACCCTTAATAACTTTATATTATATAAAATTAAGATTATAGTTCTTATATATCTTATATTAATTCTAAGTATTTATTATATACTACTTTAAAGTATGGCAAATAATAATATAAAATGAAAGGACCTATTGTACTTATGACTTATACCTAGAAGAAATCCTAACCATAAAGCCCTTTGGCTTTACAAACCAATAGTTAAACGTAGACCACTCAGTTCCCTTTTGTGCCAAATCTCCATCGAGCTCATAGTTGAATTCCCGGATAATCCTGGGAATCAGCTTGGAGACTTCCAACATCGAGATGTGTCTGCCCAAGCATGTTCGAGACCCAAGACCAAACTAGAGGGAAAAGAAAACCGGCTATTAGCAACTAACCTTACTGAATGACAAGAGAAGAGTCCTTACTGGTATCCAGTGACGGTTCATAATGGAAAGCTGTTCCTCATCGGTGATAAGCCATCGTTCTGGCCTGTAGATATCTGCATCAAGGCCGTAGATAGACTGATTGCGATGTTGAACCCAGGTGTTGATTCCAACAATTAACTACCGATATCTTATTAGCCCAAAGACTCTGTGACACAAGACCTCCAGATACATACGCCTTCAGGGAAGAAATGTCCACTGATAGTGGCCCCTCCTTTGGGCACAACGCGCTCCAGGGGCAGGCCTGTGGCAGGATGGAGCCTTAATGTCTCCTTGATGACCGCTTGCAAGTATGGCATCTGCTGAGTCTCTTGGAACGTCGGTTTCTCCGACAGTTTGCCCTCGATGTAGTAGAGATCGATCTCTTGCTGCAGTGCGGCGAGGCATAGAGGACTTTTCAGCAGATAATACAGGATGGCAGACAGCGTAATGCCAGTTGTGTCAGAGCCAGCAACCATATTGGCAACGCATCCCATGGTGACGTTGGTGGATGTGAATTTGTCGGGGCTCTGCTCATGCTTCTCCAGGAACTTGATAAGAAAAGGTTCTGCAGACGTAGTTTTCTTCCCCTCCATCACCGCCGTAGGGGTTTTCATGCTCTCAGCGACCCGGCTACGCGTAAAGGAAATGACATATGCTCGACCTGTACCACCCGAGCCAGCAACGTAGTTCTTCATGGAGAAAAGAAAAGGATGAAGTTTGCTGTAAATACCTACAGGTGCGGCATAGGAAAGAAATGCTTCAAGGGCTTCCATGACCCCACCAATGTCCTTTCCACTGTCGAGGAAGCCTAGGCGTTTACCATACGTAATTAGTCCGATAACATCAAATGCATAGCACTGAAGCCAATGGCCCATATCCATAGGCAGTCCCGTTTGGGAAATCTCAGACAGACGTTGGACGAAGAGGTCTGCGCATTCATTGACGTAAGGTTCGTACGAGATAAGAGACGACATGGAATAGTTATTTTGGAAAAGTTTTCGATGGTGAGCGTGCCGTTTGGTATCTCGGTCAGCGAAAAGGCTCACTTCGCCGGGAGCCACCCAAGCATCGTACCATGGTGACTTGGGAAAAGCCTTTTCCAGCCCGTATATGGCTTTCACTGCCGCTGGGTCGTTGATGCTGTAACGACGGGGCCCGTATCGGACAACCGGTCCTTAAAGAACCTTGGGTGTCAGGGCCGCCACTATTATCAAGCTCTCTCTATTTTGCTTACCATGTTCTCTGTGCAAAGCCAGATTGTCTGTTTCGAAATGACCTTTGCAGAGGCGCCAGAGGTACCACACATCGGTGAGACGGGCAAGAAACGGGCCAGGAATAGACTTGAGTGTGGAAAAGAGACAACCATGGACCAGGGAGGCTAGTTTCACAAGGCCAAAGGCCCCAATCAACCCTAAAATCATGAATTGCACAGAAATGTCTGACATGGCGAAATTGCAGTCAGTTAGATCCCCAAAGGTGTCTCGACACAAGAGGGCCTATCCTCAACTAACGGGTGCTTACATAGGCTATATAGACAAATCCCGAATGTTTCAGAAGCATATCTTGGATAACAGTTGACGCGTCAGATTTGCTGGTTTCCCCCTTCCCCGCTCGGCGTTCTCGCCTTCGGCTGTTCCCATCCCACTGCAAAGATGGAAGGGCGGGAACTAGATGATTAGCGGGGAGAACTTAAACACTTTTACTCTACGTGTGACAAATTGCTCGGAAGTTCCGGCCAGGATGTCTAATAGCAAATGATTTCTGGGGGCAATTACCGGGGTCTCGGAGTTCCCGATCAAGATCGGTTTTCATTTGAGCTAGACCGCGTTCCTCGGACTCCGCATAAGTACACAATCTGCATTAATGAACCGACATACGCAATGCCTGATACCTCCCCGCATGGCATATCTGCTTACATTAGGGACACTATTTGGCCAGAATGCGAGTAAAAGCATCTAGTTTAATTCGAGGGGGCAAATGGGCGTGTTGCGATATCACTTGAACTGGGTCGTCCAAAGGTGGCCCCGCGCTCCGCTTAGACAGATGCTGACTCTTCATTGCGCATTAGGTCCTCATAACGCATCGCACAACATGACCGTCCGAGGCAAAAAATAGCCCTAGCTAACTGACGAGCTCTGTGACTCTTGCTATTGTCATTGTAGAAATTGGGCTGAGCGCCTTTATTATGGCTGTCTCGTGATTATTGATATAATACAGTATTATTCATTATCTCCGAGTCTTAACACTATGCCCTTTATCGTCTGTCGATGTCAACATAGTACGGACTATTGATGACTTGGGAATTGTGAGCGTCATATTTAAAGCTGTTCCCTCAACCTAGCAGATACTCTATTGCATAGCAAAGAATCTTTGTTCATACTGGATATATTAGCAAAGAGGAATGAGTTAGGGTTGAATGGCGCATCTGTTCTCAGGTGTCCGCTATTGATTATATCTGGATTTTAGTGATGAGCAGATGAGGTCGTAACAAGCTGGCTTCAAAGGGGCACAAAATCTGTCGCTTGTTGGCTTAGGATGAAATGCTCATGCTTGTCTAGTACCTCGCTACTTATACAAGAGGATACTATATTAGTCATAGTATCATGTCTTCGTCGTCTGTGTTAGCAGCCTAAAGTTTAACCTTTTGGACAGCAAGTACTTACGTAGTTAGTCATAGCCTTTGAAAGGCTAATCTTTCACGCTGTATAAAACACTCTCGATTTCCTTGGTCTCTCGTCCTCTTGCTACCTAATAAGAGAAAGAGCCACCAGGGGTAATAAAGTAGCAATGTCTATTCTAACAGAAAGGAAGACTGGACGTTATTGCACACGTCTGCCATAGTCGGCAACCAACCGAGATTATTGTGCCACATCAATAATTCGTCGTGACTCTGAAAACTCCGTATGGCAAACAACAAGAACTGTGGATATACGGCCAGTGTTACCTATGAAAAAGTAAAAACACTGAATTATCATCAATGCTTAGCCGAAGCCAAGATTCACAGCAGTTTATCATCGCGCTAGTCCGCCTTAATCTTGACACACTCTAGGGTGGCCAGTTACCAAAGGAACGTCAACGTTGCTATAGTTGAATCGCTGGGGTTATAAGAAGTAATGAAATTTCCATCCTCTGGCCATGCTTCATCTGTTGATTAGTTACCCAAGGTCTTTCCAGCCACAGAAGGGCTAAGGATAGCTATAGGAAAAGAACTGCTACGTCCCTCATCTCACCCTCGCGTGTTTACAGTTCAGTTTGTCGTTGTCATGCCGAGTCAAGCTTGATAACTCTTCCTCAACATTGAGCTTACCGAGCCGCTTCTTATCATTGCTTATCCAGTGCAGGCTGTAAATACTCGAAATTAATACAGAGCTTGCACATGCAAGATTTATTCCTAATAACCCTCGCTTACCAGACGACTCGGATATGCCGAACTTCATTTACCAGCAAGTCGGAACTTCCGAGGCCCCATGCATGAATGAATAAATGATGAATTTATTCCATCTGAGAAAACGGATCTCATAGGACCAGCGACTACGCCAAATTGTTTGCACCTACTTCCCCGCTACCATACGGACCGCCTAAGAAAGCCCCACTTTGCGTCGAATCTCGGCAGTTGTTGAGCAATATTCAACACAGGCTGGGATTTGGCCCGACAAGGATCTTGGTACTCTGAATGCTTGGCAATTCACTTATTTCCTCCAGCCGGCATTCCGTGTTACATACATAACCTGCCCAAATTTAGCTACAGCATGCCAAAAGGGACAGTATCTGGCAGTAGTGTCATCTTTACCTTCAGCCCGGCTTCTTATCTTACTTGCTTGCTTATTATTACTGCTCAGTTTTTAGCCTCTTTTGAAAAGCAGCCATGCCAGGCTAATGGAGTTTGGCTGGCAGTCGTGACGCTCCGAATATTTATCCGTGGCGCCCCACGTCGCCAGACATCAGACGATGTTTTGCCAGCTGTCTCCAAACTTCCCACATTCTCCTCCTCCCTGACCTCTATTTATATCAGCCCGCCCCCTTTGATAGATCATGGTTTAAGATACTGAAGTACATGCGTGTTTTGCCTCCAACGAGGCGAGCTGCCCGCCTCGTTTCCGGATCCTTTTTACTTACAGCCTCCCCCCAGTACCCCCCCTCCCGATGAACGTCTTCGGGTCTATCCACGACGGAGCGGCGACGTGCGGATAATTACCTCTAGTTCCTTGAGACTGAATTCTGGTTCTTCTTGAATGGCCTTCTGTATCGCTCTGTGTGGGCTCATTCTCGTGTTTCGCTCTCGTATGTATTTTGCTCAGCGTTGTTGTTCCCATTCCCTAAGGGTTTCTGTCTTGACAGTGATTGCTGGACAGTCGACGTTTCGTTTCCAGATCTGATGCTAAATGGGATGGAGATACGTCTGGACATCCGGGGCTGAAAATGATGTGGCTTTGAGGGCACCAAAACCGTCCTTGGCCGCTTGCGCCTATCCTATCCTAGCTGCAAAGCAGATATAGGTCTAAATCAAATAGAAAATATATAAAATAAAACTATATTAATAAAAATAAAGACTTAAATCTATTACATATCATAGATATAGGTTATTATTATTAAAAGTTAAAATAAATATCTTTTAAAATAATATATTAATATATAATTATTAAAATAAATTATATATTATTATTAATTATAAAGACTAAGTAGTA